AGTCTTGGATATGATGATAATCTACATCTGGCAGCAAGGCCTTCAATTGGGAGATTGGAGGTTTTGAGGGGCATGGAACAACCTCTTAATTGCTGTAGTTCTCAGGTCCCCGCTGACCCAGGGTGGTTGCACCTGTTAGGGTCCCAGCTATGGACAAATAGTGAACCCCCCCCCCCTGGCCAAACAAAAACAAAACCCTATGAAAGTATAAAAATACATTTTTATAGTAAAATTACCAGCAATATATTTTTATATAAAAAAAATTACCAACAATACAATTTCAAAACAAAATGACCAACAATACATTTTATAAAAAATGTATAGTTGAAGCCATAAAATTATATTCAGAATATTTAGATTTTGGCAGGAAATAAAATGTAGAGGTTGAGATGCCACTAAATAAAATCGATCAAACAAGCTTTCTATAAGGATGTTCTTGTTAGCTATTGAGAGATTTTCTAGGTAATTTTCATTATGCCATATAGTAACATATGTCTGTTTCTCAAAACTGTTTAAGAGCTGTTTGATTTCATTTTTAATACCAAAACAAAATATAGTATTTTTATATCAATGAGTGTTCAAGATTGATAAGTTTTTATGGTAATATCGAATTTAAAAATAAAAATGTTACTAAAATTCATTTTTCATGACACATCATCATTTTTCCATTCATCATATTTTTTTATTAATTGCTATATGCTTAGTAATTATATTTAAAATTGAAAAATATTTTTTCAATTTTAATTTGCATGAATTATCAAGTAATTAAGAAAATAACCTGCTCTTTTTAATTATGACAAATTAACAAAATCACACTTAGTATAAAAATTTACAGTAAAATGGTTAAAATGAGAAATTATAGAATTGAGGAGTAAAGTGTTCTGCTTTGTTGCTAGTAATTCATATTGCTTTTTACATATTTTAAACTTAAAAAAGATCTGTTTATATAAGACAAATTTGCATGCCACAATGAAATGACCCCAGTACAACAGCCTAGATTAAAATTTTAAAAAATGACTTGCTTGCATGAGTTCTAGTTCTGTGTGTCTATAGACAATAATTAAAATTTAATTAATTAAAAACTCTTGACAAGGAAGAAAAGGAAATTGAAAACTGCAGTTTAGTGATATTGTTATAGGATTTTTTTTATTTTCATTGTTTTATTATTTTTATTTATATATTAAAATAAATGAACACAAACCAAAAATACTTGTCAACATAATTCTCTAGTTGTTTTAATCATTAATTTATTTTATTTACAGTAAATTTCCTATGACTTTTTGTTTTGTCAGGGCCTTATATTTTGTTTAATTTATGTCAAATCTTGATTGTCTCTTCCCCGACTACATTTATGTTTTTTCCTTATATTTAGCAGATTGTATTTTGTATTAATTTTGTAAGTTTTTTATTTATAAAAAAAAAAACTACAACCATGCATGTGTCATTTCAGCAAAAAAAAAAAATTCTACCTACTACTTTTGTTTTTACAGTTAAAATTTTTTACTGTTTTTTTTCTCTCATTATTTTGTTTTATTTTTAGTTTTGTTTGCAGTTTGATTTGATTTTGTTTTCTTTTTTTTTGTCTTTGTTTCATGAAAATAATATAACTTCGACATAATTTGGGGTTATGATATTTTTGCTGTGGATGTTTCTTTCTTGCTTTCCTTTTATTTGGTAAAAATATGGTCCCTAAAATGAGGTTACCTAAACTTCATTAGAGTAAACAGCACTAATTGTATATATAATAATTGTTTTGTATAATTATTTTTCTGCTCTATAAAATAATAGTCACTTATAAGTAGACCATTAAAGCAAAAAAGCTTTGACTAATAAAATGTCTGTGTATTTAATTTACCTTTAAAGTAGGGCATCTTTCTTTTATTATTTTTAAACATAGTAATAGTTTGAAGGTATATTTTTATGCCCCTTTGAATAAATCAAAATAAATGCTAATATATATAAAAATGCATTCAATGTGGTGTAAATTTTCACCATGCAAATCTATTTAGTATACTATTATTTTCAGACTCTATCTTTTATTAGATATTGTAGTTCTTATAAAATGTAGAGTTTTGCATGATTTCATTCAAATTTTTAATTTCCTAAAAGTAAATATTTCTAGAACTCTATTATCAAATTATAATATTTTGAAAAGACATTTAATATATTTCCTAACATTCCTTCTATTCATATTTATTTATTCAAAATTTTAAAAAATTGAGTAAAATTTAATGGCAAAAATTAATATAGAACATTAAAGACAACTTCCGTGATTCAATTTTGATTTCTGAAATGGTACAAAAAAATTTTTTTAAAAAACTCCTAATTGTATTAATGTTCATTTGCTGTTAAATTTTTATTTCTTTTTATTACAAAAGTATTACTTTATTTGACAACATTTAAATTTGATCATTTGTTTCTCACTGAATTTGAAACATTTTGTAAGAAGATCTGATTTACATTGAATCTTATAATTTCATTCCTAATTGGACAAAATAATCTTTCAAAACCTGTGATAATTAAATATTTGTTTGGATATGTGTGGCATATTTCTTAAATTATTTGCTAGAATTGTTTTCTTCAGGTTAAAAAATAAATATTGATTGCATAGAAAAATTGATTATTTGTGATTTTACACCTTTTATCAGTAACAGACTTTGTTTAATTCCATAAATTATTTATAATATAGAGATTTTAAAAAGATATTTAATTAGGTATGGATTTTAAGTTACTTTTTTATTATTATTATGAAACAACTATAAGATAAGATTGCCATAATCTATATGCACTGAATTCCTGTATTTTCAAAATCAACATTGCATAATACTTTTAGAATATTTAACATTGGAACGCATTGATAGTAGTTCTTTATTTATCCTTGATTTTTATTTTGTTAGTTTTGATATGAATCGGAATGAGAATTGGTTTTTGCATACTACTAAATTGACTGAGTGAAAATTATTTTATTTGCCAATTTATGTTTTAATATTTAGTTTTCTTCATAAAGTAAAAGAAATTTTTATTACAAAAACAAGTTTTCATTTTTATCCTCTGAAAATACTTCATTTTTCACCCATTGGATCTAAATTTTGGATAAAGAATAAAGTTTAACTCTTTATTTGTCTATTTTTAATATAAAGTATAATAACATGTCCTTCAGGAGAATACAGTAAAATAGAAATTGTTTTGCATGAACAAAAAGCTTTTATGCTGATTTTAGTGCATGAATTAGACGAAAAGAAATTATATGAAATGCAAATAGCAGAAATACAAGGGTTGAAATAAAAAGCAATTATTTATTTTTTTCTTTAAATTCATCACATCTGTCTTGTATTTAAGTGACTCTATAAAAGTGTGTGTGTGTGTGTGTAAGATATGTTATTCTTGTATGTTTGATATCATTATCTAGCACTCCAATAGCTGTAAACAATATACTTTTTGTCTATATAATACTTATCTAGTAAATGATTTACAATGCTATTAAAAAAAAATGAAAATACTAATGATTTATATTAAATAAGCACAATTGCTATCCATTCATCTATGAGATTTGGTTATCTTTAAGATATATTACATTTATATTTTATTTGTAAAGTCTAAAATAACAAAAACAAAATTTTAATTGATATGAAAAGCAACTGATATTAAGTTGAAAGAAATACTAGTCAATAATGGTTGACAATGCTTCATCTAACAAAAAATCAAGATAATATTATTACTTATTTACTTATGGCAGAGACTGATGGTCTGAGTAGTTGAGATGAAAAGCAATTGAAATTAAGATAAAAGAAATATTCCCCTAAATTTTACAATCATTGACAATGCTTGAACTAATAAAAATTTGAGACAACATTATTACTAAAATTAATGAGTAATGACTTATTTTTAATTTGCTGTTACAGTGTCTCAGGGCTATTTAATTATTTACTAGGTAATGTCTTTCAAATAATTAATCATTTAAAATTATTCACTTCAAACTTGTACAGAAATATGCAAAGTGCTGGCAGTATACAACCACTTTCTCAAATTGGTTAAAAATGACTTGAGCAAGTGAAGTGTGTAGGTCTCAACAAGAACCTTAACCATTCCTCAAAACTATTATGGACTGGCATTAAAAAATCACAAAGAACTATGCTAGACCACAGAAAACCCCATAACTTGAGGATTTTCAACAGAAGCAGCAGCAACTAAAATGGATAGAGCATGTATATCAAAGAGAGAATAATTTGAAATACAAAATCTTAAAGATCAGATGTTTATTATATACACCAATATTTTAGCACAAACTTTTTACATATTTCTCTCTCTTACAATTTTCTGCTGTTATGTTCATATTCACATATATATATGATCTTTACTAAATCACATATATCTTACACACTTCTCTCTTCTAAAAGCAATTTCTTTTTCTTCAACCCTTGTATTTATTTGCTATGTTTTTAAGTATTTAGATAAAATGAAAATTTTGCTTAGTAACAGTAGGCACTTTTACCTTTTTTATTATCATTATTTGTTTTTAAAAAAATCTTTAATATTAATAAAGGAGAATTAAAAAATACCAATTTATTTAGTGAACTGTTTAATTATTTTAATATAAGAAATTAACAAGGAGTATAAACTTTAAAACTCTTTTATTTCAACTGCTTTATTTTGTACAAAAAATATTCTTTTATTTTAATAAAATGATGCAAAAATGTTTTAAATAACAAAAAGCTTAATTTCTTTTCCAAATTTCTCATAAAATAATATTCAGCAAAGTTTTTTTTTTTTATATTTTTAATTTTATTTAATATTTTTATGGTTTTATTTTCCATTTGTCTATAACAAAGATCTTAATGTCGGAGATTCTTTCTTGTAATAAGAAATAAACCTTCACTGACATCTTTATAAGAATTTCTGGTAACAGTTCATTGCAGCACAGTCTTACACTTCAGGTTGAACGGGTTTCATTTGCTTAGAAATTAATATTACCTAAACATTGGCCTTTGATTTCTTCTCAGATTGATGAAGACCTTACTGCTAGAATCAACATGGCTGACTATCGTTTCTCTTTCCATGAGAAAGGCAAAATATACTCTCCTGCCTGGATGGCACCAGAAGGTAAACAAAACTACATATCACTTTATTTATTAGTTTTATATAACTATGTAAGATTATTTTCTGGATTTTATCAATTTAAATGACTTTTGTTTTATAATTCTATTCAATTTTGTTATCTGCAAAGTAAACTTCAAAATATTTCTAAATTGCTCTGAATTATTAACAGCAAAATAAATATGTTTGAGGGGTGCTGCAAAGTTTTCAATTTGATCCACTCCTGAAAATCTGACCGAATATCATTTTTCTTTTCTTTTTTTTTTTTCTTGTAATTGTTTCTTGGTTGAGCTGGAAATCTTTCAGTCCTCCACCCCACTTATAAATCAATACATTCCTAACATAAGGATGTAAGAAAAATCATTTCAAATATTTATTTTTCAACACAATCTCCTTTATCCAGGTTCATAATTTAGTAGTGAATATTAATCACATAGATATAACAATATACAGTGAAAATTTCAAATCAAAATAAAAACCAATAATCCTGTGTCAGGCTATGGACATTGATGCACAATACAAGCTACTTAACTTTTTTTTTAATTTAATTACTCTAGATTATAATATGTATCTTAATTTTAAAAAGTACCATGTCGTTGGATGACGATTGTTTCTTACCCCCCCCCAAATAAGATCAACCAATATAACCTTAATTTTAATGCTTTAAAAAAATAAATCATATCAGCAATACAAAGAATGAGATCAATTGTTTCAACAGATATTGGAATTTTAATGACTTTTCTCAAAGTTTAGAGAATTTTTTTCTTTCTCTCTTGAAAAACAAACTACAATTCCATGTATCTATAATAAACAGTTTATTTTTTCCAGATATTTTTGATTTTTTTTTTTTTTCAAATTTGTTTTTGAATTCTATCTTTCAGCTCTTCAGAAGAAACCAGAAGAAATCAACATTAAGGCTGCTGACATGTGGAGTTATGCAATACTTTTATGGGAACTGGAAACAAGGGAAGTTCCATTTGCAGACCTTTCTTGGGGAAATTGATATGAATTTTTGAATGGTAAAAAATTAACATCATTATCAACATTTTTATCTAGGAAAATTTATTTAGGAAATTATGTATTATCTGAAAAATTGAATCATATCTTATTTGAAAACGATTATTAAATTTTAGATCACATTTACATATCTGGGAGGATTTTATAAATGATTTCAACTACTCATTTTTTACTTGATTTTTATTGCAGCAATAAACACACATCAAATATTATAAATGTTATCAAGGGATTAATGTTTATGGCCACCTGATGGCAATTGTTCATAGTATTCTGTGATAACTAAATCTACTTATTATTTCATATGATATTACAAAAGTGATCTATTGATAAGCTTTCCTCTTTGGTACCTTGATATTTTTTTATCATTTCACTCCCAAACAAGGCCATAAAGCCACTTAGATGCAAGTGGTTACTGAGTGTGAAAACATCTGAGGGGAAAAAACATTAATGGGAGAGGGAAATAAAAGAACAGGAATTAAAGAGACAGAAGATGATGATTGATATTACATTTAAATGTTTGAAGATCAAAGTCAACTTGAAAGCAAAAAGCTAGAGGAGAGTTCCACAAGTAAGAAGTGCAATAGAAGAAACCGTTAGCATAGAACTTATGGTTAAATCTAGTCATTTCAACTGGAAAATGAGGAGACCTAATACCAAAGAGGAAAGCGATATTTATTCTGTTTAAAATACAGAAATGTGGCACAAAGGCCGAAAAAGGGATTGGGGAAAGGACGGTCTTCTTCTGTCTTAACTATAACTTAGCTAGACGCAAGCACTGACCCAAACGTACGAAACAATATTCCTTACACCAAAACAACACATTCATTCGTACCTTTCTTACTACAACCACCATAATACCTCTTTGTCTCTATGAAAATACTAACTAGTCCCCATATTTACAATTCGTGGTCTGTGGGGGGAGGGGAATAAAACAACAATTCTAAAAATTAACCCCAATGAGTATTTACAATATGCATATAAAAAACTATTTACAAGAAACTAAAGAAAATAAGATTAGTAATAAAACCCCCCACAGTTTCCTAAATGTGACAGAAACATCACTTCACTGGCCGAAATCAATGCGGGACTATAATAGTATAAACCATTCATTCATCCCAATCACTCACACTGACATGCACTCATTCAGACACAACAACAAATACGAAAAAAACACTCACACGAAAACAAAAAGGCGTCCCGCATCCACCAGCGAACTGACATCACTGACCACCTAACGAGGGAGGGATGGGGAATTAAACTTAAAGAAAAAAAACAAATGGGGACAGAAAAAAAAAGGGGCCAATGAGCATACATACCCTAGCTAAGTTAACTGAAAAAAGGAAACTAAATCATCAAAATGGAAAACCTAAGCTAGCCTAATTTCAGGATGGGTTGCACAAGTTCAACCCAGGAAGAGCAATATCCTGATGCCTAACCGGCATCAATGTGCCACTCAAATCAGCTCCTTTCACATGACACAAGCGCGCAAGATTCACCCACCTTTTGCTGAATTCTGATAAAGTGAGCCGCCGCCTTTCCGTCCTAATCTTGACTTTAAGCTGATGCTTAAAGTACAAGATCAGTTGGGAAGAGGTGAACTTCTCGCCTCCATAGAATCCCTTCTGACGTGTCGTCCAAAACCACGACTCTCATAACACCTAGCAAGCAGTGGAACACATACTGTTCAGCCTTCGTCAGCGGCGGTGCCACATTGCTACAAACGGAAACGGACTGAAGGACAAAGGACTTTCCCTGCAGCATGCGGACCATGAGGCCTTCAACAAACTTGACCAACGGCACTACCTGGCTGCAATGAAAGAAGGCGTGACCCAAGGTCTCGACCTCCCCACTACAACGTCGGCAGTTTGGAGAATTCTCCAAGCCAGCTGAGCAGAGTCTCTTGGCGACCCAGAGGGCCCTACGTATCACCAGCCAGGTGAGTGATGCCTCATCGTTATTGAGGCATTTCAACCCGGGCGCCCAAGGCCATATTGAGCGAGCCTGCTGCCTCGTCAAACCGAGCTCGTCAATCAAATCATCATGCACGGCCCCCCTGACTAAAACTTGATATAATGCCCTACGCGACAACGCCTGGACGTTGGAGAGGCCATCCGACGCCCGTAAGAGGCGCTTCAGAGCAATACGACATTCACGATAGAAGGAGCATTCGGCTCGGGGTAAACGGCGGGCCTCCTCCTCGCTCGAATGCACACTTCTCAGGGATGGGAAGTTCTTACGGGCGTCTTCCTTCCAGAAGGCGCCGTCCTCATCCGAATCGCGACACATTCGATCCAGAAAACTAATGCGAAGCATATGTTGACGAATCTCAATGCTCGGCATGCCCAGACCGCCTTCAGATGGATGAAGGCAACAGATCTCCCGACTGACTCTGGCAGCCTTGCCTCCCCACAAGAAGGAGAACAAGAGCCTCACTAACGCCAGTAAAGTGTCACACGGAAGTGGAAGCACAGAGAGTCGGTAAAGGAGAATCGGGTAGATGTGAAACACAAACTTCCGCCCTCCCCTTTAAGGAAAGATTCCTCCGAGACCACAATTTAATTGCGATCTCGGCCTTCCCTCGCACCTCCGACCAATTCATCTCCAACTGGAGATCAGGACCGAAAAAGACGCCGAGAATCTTGACCGGCCCATCCGTCCAGTGGAAAGGTCCGGGAAGAGAAACTCCTTCCACGCACCCAACCGCAAGCCAACAGACTTATCGCGGTTGATCTTGGCCCCTGTCACCATCTCATAACAACTGATTTCTTTTGCTGACTTCGTCAATCTCGGCTCTGCTCGACACAAGAGCCGAAACGTCGTCAGCATAGGCGGAATACCTGGCCGATGTGCTACCACCGGGCAGGGCAACATAAATGTAGGACCGGATTCGCCTTTAACTTGCGAAGGAAAGGTTCCAACGCAAGAACGTAAAGCAAAGGCGATAGCGGACAACCCTGACGAATGGAGCGAGACAATACGAAAGGCTCCGATCGTACCCCATTCACCTCCACCAGCGCACCGGGGAGTCGCATACAGAAGTCGGAACCAGGTGCGAAAGTATGGCCCGAAACCGGCCGCCGAAAGAACAGCCTCCAGAAAACGATGGTGTGATAGCGAAGAGCGATATTTATTCTGTTTAAAATACAGAAATGTGGCACAAGGCCGAAAAGGGATTGGGGAAAGGACGGTCTTCTTCTGTCTTAACTATAACTTAGCTAGCCGCAAGCACTGACCCAAACGTACGAAACAATATTCCTTACACCAAAACAACACATTCATTCGTACCTTTCTTACTACAACCACCATAATACCTCTTTGTCTCTATGAAAATACTAACTAGTCCCCATATTTACAATTCGTGGTCTGTGGGGGGGAGTGAATAAAACAACAATTCTAAAAATTAACCCCAATGAGTATTTACAATATGCATACAAAAACTATTTACAAGAAACTAAAGAAAATAAGATTAGTAATAAAACCCCCACAATTTCCTAAATGTGACAGAAACATCACTTCACTGGCCGAAATCAATGCGGGACTATAATAGTATAAACCATTCATTCATCCCAATCACTCACACTGACATGCACTCATTCAAACACAACAAATACGAAAAAAAACACTCACACGAAAACGAAAGGCGCCCCGCATCCACCAGCGAACTGACATCACTGACCACCTAACGAGGGAGGGGATGGGGAATTAAGCAAAAAAAAAAAACAAATGGGGACAGAAATAAAAAGGGGCCAATGAGCATACATACCCTAGCTAAGTTAACTGAAAAAGGAAACTAAATCATCAAAAATGGAAAACCTAAGCTAGCCTAATTTCAGGATGGGTTGCACAAGTTCAACCCAGGAAGAGCAATATCCTGATGCCTAACCGGCATCAATGTGCCCTCAAGTCAGCTCCTTTCACACGACACAAGCGCGCAAGATTCACCCACCTTTTGCTGAATTCTGATGAAGTGAGCCGCCGCCTTTCCGTCCTAATCTTGACTTTAAGCTGATGCTTAAAGTACAAGATCAGTTGGGAAGAGGTGAACTTCTCGCCTCCATAGAATCCCTTCTGACGTGTCGTCCAAACCACGACTCTCATAACACCTAGCAAGCAGTGGAACACATACTGTTCAGCCTTCGTTAGCGGCGGTGCCACATTGCTACAAACGGAAACGGACTGAAGGACAAAGGGCTTTCCCTGCAGCATGCGGACCATGAGGCCCTCAACAAACTTGACCAACGGCACTACCTGGCTGCAATGAAAGAAGGCGTGACCCAAGGTCTCGACCTCCCCACTACAACGTCGGCAGTTTGGAGAATTCTCCAAGCCAGCTGAGCAGAGTCTCTTGGCGACCCAGAGGGCCCTACGTATCACCAGCCAGGTGAGTGATGCCTCATCGTTATTGAGGCATTTCAACCCGGGCGCCCAAGGCCATATTGAGCGAGCCTGCTGCCTCGTCAAACCGAGCTCGCCAATCAAATCATCATGCACGGCCCCCTGACTAAAACTTGATATAATGCCCTACGCGACAACGCCTGGACGTTGGAGAGGCCATCCGACGCCCGTAAGAGGCGCTTCAGTGCAATACGACATTCACGATAGAAGGAGCATTCGGCTCGGGGTAAACGGCGGGCCTCCTCCTCGCTCGAATGCACACTTCTCAGGGATGGGAAGTTCTTACGGGCGTCTTCCTTCCAGAAGGCGCCGTCCTCATCCGAATCGCGACACATTCGATCCAGAAAACTAATGCGAAGCATATGTTGACGAATCTCAATGCTCGGCATGCCCAGACCGCCTTCAGATGGATGAAGGCAACAGATCTCCGACTGACTCTGGCAGCCTTGCCTCCCCACAAGAAGGAGAACAAGAGCCTCACTAACGCCAGTAAAGTGTCACACGGAAGTGGAAGCACAGAGAGTCGGTAAAGGAGAATCGGGTAGATGTGTGAAACACAAACTTCCGCCCTCCCCTTTAAGGAAAGATTCC